ATAAATTTATTTAATTTATTTATAATATAACATTCTAAAACTTTTTTAAAAGTTTCTACGGTGGCATGTTTTAAACATCGATGATGGGTAGTTTCTCATAAGTTTTGCTAAGACTGCAATATTCCAAATAGGCAGTGAAGTGTGGATCCAAATAATGCGAGTAACTGTAACCATAATTTACTGTTGCATTGCGTTATTATTATTCTTTTAGAGGGGGAAATTTTATAAATAAAATTCACGGTGCCGACATGAAATATCCATGAATAAAATGTTGAAAAGTCAAAAAAGACGATAAAAAAAATAACAATAAAGAGTAATTGGTCCAAGGTGGCAAGTTGTATTATCTGCGTCGACGAAATTATTTTAAATATTTTTCTTTTGGGGATTTCTTCTGTTGCACATATATATACACATACGCATATATATATATTTATGTGCTCCACAAAAAAATGTACACGTACACGTATATTACATAGATATTGTTGTTATTTGGTGTGGCTATATTCTTTTCTGGCTAAAATTTTGATTGAAACAACAAAAAAAAAAATACTATAGTTATATGTGAAATACTTGTATCATGTATTCGTTGAATAAATATATTGTCCCCATGGACAGACGATTGCATGGAGGATGCAGAGAGAGAGTATGACAAGTCAAACACTCCTTTCAATTCAACCAAACATAAATTGCTTATATTTATAATTATATGAAAAAAATATCAGGAAAAATATAATATTAGTAATGACTAGGAAATTAAAAAAAAATTGACTCTATTATTAGAGTAAATTTTCCTAAAATATATTTCAATTAACTATGGAGTAAAAGTTAAATTTAATAAATGGATATGTTATTATATGAAGTGGGATTGGTCGTGAGCTAATAATAATCCCTTGGAATCTCCTAATAGTCAACGCGCGTAGCTGAAGGAAACTAATGAATGGAATGGACGGATAAGCAAAGTCTCGGCCTTTTGTATTTACATGAAAATAAAAGGTCAGGGTTCGAATCCTACCCTCAGAATGGAATTATCTTCGTGCCAGTCCTTTACCGCTTAGTGCATTGATCCAGGGACAAACGGAGATTAATCTGAATGTGCAAGGCTTAAAGATACTGGTTCAGAGTTAAACGTCGTTCAGGACCACCTCGTGGTATAACCAATAAATAAAATTGAGATTATAACAAATAAGGGCAACGTCTAAGGGTTTGACCTTTGCAATTAGATTTCTCGGACCCTTTGCACATTTTTTACGGTATTTTGGATATGAAAAATTCTTTTCGGAAGTGCAAATTTTGGTTTTGGAGAAAGTGAAACAAAGAGAGAGATTATGATATTTTTTTCATCAATATATATATATATATATATATATATATATATATCATATTGTTAACTAACAAACATAACTAACGTATTTACAAACTCCATACAAAAAGAAAAAATCAGAGGAAGAACTTTGGTCGAACCGAGGCAGTTAATAAATCACTTATCACATAAACTATGTGTACGTTACATTTTGGTAAAAATATAATTTACATACATACATATATATATACACACATGTGGTTTAGAGTATACATTTCTTCTCCAAATTTGAGATTCGAACTTAAGACGAGACATTCGCTTTGTATTCCATTTCTCCGATTGATCTATCTGAGTTTGGGTTATTGAAATTTTAATTTTAATATATTAAGAAGATGGTTATATGAGATTCTTTTTTTTTTCTTTTTTTTCTTTTTTTTTTTCCAACCAACTTGTCATTAGTTGCATGATTCAGACACACTGATTTGCCTTAAAGTCTTTTCTCCATGTGATCCCTCAAAGTCTTTTTTCGCCAGCTTTTCATTTTCTTGACCAATTCGGCACTCTTCCATTAATTCCCACTGGTTTGTTTACTTAGACTATTTGTTTCCGTTATATTCATTTTTAATTATTTTTTTTAAGAAGAAAAAATAATCGGCCCCGGAAATATGGATTTGGAGATATTTTGTTTGACGTTACAGAGATAGACAAAATAAATAAATTAAAAAGAGGGATATTAGCAATTATTAGATATTCTTATTACAGAAAATAAAATATTATTCTTTATTTGATGTCGTAGAAAATATTCTTACTAGATAAAAAGCATTGATGCAAGAGCATAGAAACTGACCATTTGGATTCATTTAACACAATCCAATAAAATCGAGATTACAGTTGGAGAAAACATTACTCTATTCATTTCACTTTTTTTTCTTTTTGGTTAAAAAAGTTCATTTCACTTCCTTTAAACCATTTAATCATCTTCTAATTATGGAGAAGATGAAAGATGAATACCAAAACACGGCGTAACCGACCATTTATGAAACTTTAGGGTTTAATTTGTTTGAGCCAAAAAATTTCGGCCTTTTGGGTTGGACTCAATTCGGGCATCGGGTTTGCTCTAATTTAACTCCACGGGTTTCAGATCAGTAATCCGATTTGTTTTAAAAAAAAATCAAATGATAAAAAAATAAATCCAAATGAAAAAATAGAAGTATTAAACGAGTCGGTTTGGTTTGAATCTGAACCCGAGCTTCAGATTTAGTTTTATATATCCGAATTGACCGATCCAAACCTGAATCCGAAATCCTCGAACCGGTTGCTGGTTCAAGATGGGCCGGACCGGCTAAAAAAACATCGGCCGAAATATGTGTTTCGACAATGATATTTGAAACTAGCTAGGCCCATCGAGGAATTAAGCTTTAAAGTCACAGTTTGTAGGGTTGGGCCTTTGATTATTTGAATGGGCCTCGTGTTGATAGAAAGAAAGGTACGATGCGTACTTGTGTACTGTAACAGCAACATATAATTAATGAGATCATAGATAGATTAGGTCGGGGGGGTTTCGAAAGTATTGCGTCCATTGACACATTGCGAGAATTTGCAGGACGACCATTAACATGTATGCATAATAATGGATTTATATAATAGATTAGTCATATTTCGATTACTCTTACCTTTAAATTATATAAAATTAATAAAAGAAAATATTATTTATCTAATTTCGATCTTTATATGTAGTATCTCCCATAAAAAAAAATTTCTAGGTCTATCTATATATAGAAAAAGAACACATATTGTTTGGAAAATTTCGTAACGAATTGATACAATGATGAAGTCAAGTATATTAGCATCTCCAATGATGTTTAAAATCCCAAGTAAAGATTATAAATGGGTTACCAATGTTGATAAAGAACATTTCACATTTATAACAAATGACGAACTGATCAATAAATTTTATACAATGGTAAGACTATAACATATGAATAAATTTTGATCTTCGGATGTGTTCAATTGAAAATGATTTATATACCACAATGTTTTATAGTATGTTGGTGTGGGTTTATTTGAGAAAATCAAAACATCGACTTGATCCGAATTCACACTCAGTATGAGGGTTTAAGGTTCGGGCTCGGGTCGGCCCAATTTGTTTTAGGCCCACAAAACCGAGTTCAAAATCACCGTATCAAATCTCATATTAAGTCTCATTTATTTATCATTATTAAGAGATTCTCTCTAATCCAATCCAATACAAATAAAGGTTTTGAATTGAATTAAAATATATAAAATATAAAAAAATAGTATTCGCATACATTTTCTAAAATCAACTCTCTCTAAGTTCATTTGGTATTTGATTTTTTTTTTCTGAACACACGGTCATTATATCCAACGAATTCGAAACTTTAAAACATTAAAAAATTTATATTTTATAGATCTCAACATCTAAAATTTTATAGGTAGGTAATTGTTAAACCTTATTCAAACTTGCGGTAACTATACCTTTTAACCAACCATTAAAATATTTCATTGCTTTGTAGTATGATCTTAGTGGGATCTAATCCGAATAATCGATAATTTTATTTATATCTATATAAAAAAAAACCATGCATCTTCTCCCGTGACTTGCACATATACCATGAATATTATATACGAATGTATGTGGTAACTCTAATATTCATGAAAATAAATAAATAAAAAGCATAGTTCTAAAAGGGAGAGCACCTAGATTCCCCATTCATTTCTGCATGAAAACAATATTCTTCATACAAGGCGATAAGATCCAAACATTCTGTGTCACACTTTGATGTTTTTTTTGTCTCCTTTTGGTCGTGGCACCATGCAAACTGTTTATAGAAAAAAAAACAAAATAATTTTTTTTTTGTAAAATGTGGAATCTAATTTTTAATAGAAAAATAGTAGAATCCCATTATCCAAATTTGATTAATGGAAAACGGGTGGCTGAAAAGAAGACATTAATGTTCAACCTACCACAACTTATTCCCTGCCCAAATCATTTATTTCTCTTTGTGAATAAAAATCTTATGTATTCCATATATTTTATCATTTTTTTTGTAACAAATCGGTATATTAAATAATTCAGTTATATATATATATATATATATATATATATTTATTTAACGTAATTCACTACTCCCTCTGTTTCATTTTAAACAGACATATTAAAAAAAAACCATAATTTATCCCAAATACCCTTATTTTAAATTGAATAGATAATTATTATCTCAATATTTAAGTATTATTAATTAGGGTTAAATTCGAAAAATATTAAAATTACATGGAAAATCTCACAATGTAAATTATTCTGAAATAAAAAATTATTTTAAAACGTTTTTTAATTTGAAATAGAGGGAGTTTATTATTTATTGTCATCTTGTAAAATCCTATTGTCCAAAATCCACTTTTGTTCGACCCTTGAGAGCCGTTCGATCAATTAGAATCTAATCTGGACAGGTGGACGGTATCGAAGTGCGGTATAGCGGAAGACAGAGGATCAGAGCCCTCCTGCCCATTTCTTACGCATGTTCAAATCACTGAAGACGCGTCTCACCTGCCAGGCTGGCTCTTCATGTCCATCGCAAAATCCATGAAAAATTCAAAATTAAGAATTTTTTTAATTTTACTTTATTAGAGCTTTTTGTTTGATTTGATAATTTAGTTAACCCTGAGATTTGCTGTTAAAAAGGTCCGACAGATTAGATTAATTAGGGGGATGGATTAACGCGAAATTACGAAACTACCCCTAATCCGCCATTAACACACACAGCTCGTCTCCCTCACTCTCTCTACACACCCTTACAAGCCAAATGCTGACACTGCGTTTGCGTCTGCGTTTCCTTCTCCTGCCGCTGCTGCTGTTGGTCGCCGTCTCTTCCGGTGAAGCCTCCGTCACGGATCTCCCCACGTTTCGCGAAGCACCGGCGTTTCGAAACGGCCGAGAATGTCCGAAAACGACGTGGTCGGCTACGGATCGGACACACAATCCGTCGATCATCCATATCGCGATGACCCTCGACGCGATTTACCTCCGCGGATCAGTCGCCGGTGTCTTCTCCGTCCTTCAACACGCATCTTGCCCTGAGAACGTCGTCTTCCACTTCATCGCCACCCACCGACGCAGCGCCGATCTCCGCCGCATCATCTCCTCCACCTTCCCTTACCTCGCCTTCCAGATTTACCATTTTGACCCAGCCCTCGTCCGTGGCAAGATCTCCTCTTCGATCCGTCGAGCCCTCGATCAGCCCCTCAACTACGCTCGGATCTACCTCGCCGATCTGCTTCCGACCGCCGTCAAACGCGTAATCTACTTCGACTCCGATCTCGTCGTCGTGGACGATGTGGCCAAGCTTTGGAGCATCGATCTCCGGCGACACGTGGTCGGAGCGCCGGAGTACTGCCACGCGAACTTCACCCACTACTTCACTCAGAGGTTCTGGTCGGTCCCGGCTTATGCGGCGTCGCTTCGGGGAAGACGGCCTTGCTACTTCAACACGGGCGTGATGGTGATAGATCTGGGGAAATGGCGTGAAGGAAGATTCACGGTGAAGCTCGAGATCTGGATGAGGATCCAGAAACGACACCGTATCTACGAGCTTGGGTCTCTGCCGCCATTTCTGCTGGTCTTCGCCGGAGATGTGGAGCCGGTGGAGCACCGATGGAACCAGCACGGTCTCGGAGGCGACAACCTCGAAGGGCTTTGTCGGAATCTGCACCCAGGTCCGGTGAGTCTGCTTCACTGGAGTGGGAAAGGGAAGCCATGGCTGAGGCTGGACTCCAAGCGACCTTGTCCGTTGGATTCACTGTGGTCCCCATACGATCTGTACCATCACACACCGTTGATCTCCGACAGCTGATGGAGTGCTGACGTGGAAGCTGACTGGTAAAAAAACAAGGAACGGCGAGAGCTAAATTTCGGGGCCGTTAAAGTTTTGTCGTATTGACTGCCGTGAATTCAGCTGGATTTCATCGGTGGAATTTGCCACGTGGCAGTCAATCGTGGCGGGACTAGTGTTTGATCGGACGGTGGATAACCGGTCACGGAACGTATTCGACGCGGGTTATTGTATGGGTTTAAAATACATTGATAATAAGATATACCATACGACGTCGTGTTGTTTTCCATGTACGTAAAGATCTATTTGTGAGATTCTGTTATGCAATGTGATCATCATCATGTTCTTCAAATAATTAAGTTAAATTCCTTTTTGATTTTTTTTTAACTACCTATTATAGTTGAATTGAATTCTTTCGTTATCTAAATCCATGTTCGCAGTCCATATTTATTAGCCAAATAGTTTGGTCTAAACCTATGGTTAGTTATTGGGCCGTATTTTCACACGTGAAATTTAACAAATTACATACTTATTGGCCCATGAGAGGTTTTGATCTAATGGATCAAATATTCAGTAAGCTAAAACCCATTATTATTAGTTGGGCCAGATTTCTAAATTATGGTTAGACCACAAGTTTTATACAAATGAAATGGCTATTAAATCAAGCCTATGGACCGTCAACTATAATTTAATTTCGGTCTCGTATTTAATATGATGATACGACCGGTTTGCCAGTGGCAGATTGCCAACGATGAGTTCCATAAACATGCATAGAGATTGTACGTACGTATGTACACTTGGGTATAAACGTGCCATGCACTCGTGTGTATGCCTCGAAGATATGTAACAAAATCTTCTTGAAAGTCATTAAAGCCGTAATGTTTTTGAAAATTTAAATCAACGACACTTGTAATTAGGAATCGTGAGAGCTTCCACGTGCAACTCTGACTTTCCTGTCGTTCGGCACCGATACAAGATATATATATATATATTCAATTTATTTAAATATACGAATTATTGGTTCGTTATACTTGGTGAATTAAACTAATCCTGCCTCATGACTTTTTCAATTATACATTGATCCGACATAAGTTTATCAGATATGAATGCTAGGAACCTATTTTAATTTGGTCATGAAAACGTCTATAATTACGGTAATGTGAGCCTATGAATTGATATTATAGAACTAATCCAAAGTAGGACGAAAGAAATTTAAAGAATCGGAAATATTTAAACTTATTTTCTGTTGAAATATGGTATAGATGCACGCCACATATTACTATACATACAACAAAATTGCATAAAAAAGTATTGTTCGAAATCCATATGTGTAGAGTATAGAGGGATAAAATATGAGGTATTTATACAAGTGAGTTAACCTAATAACACATGGGAAAATATATATTTATCCCTCTATATAGAGGTTTTATATTAGTACATGATATTTTCGAGATATTGGTTATATAAATATTTCGGATCGGAGAGTGGTATATATTGTTGAAAGTTTTTCTACAACTGCATGCCCATATTGAGAAATTCCTACGTTACTGATTGATGGTCCGCTATTTTCTCAATGCTAATTGAATAGTAACTGCCAAATATTAGTTTTTTCTGATGAAGAAAAACTATTAAAAGAGTATAAATCTGGATCTCTAGACTAAGCAACAGACAGAATAAATACACCATCGTTTGTGATTACTATAGTTTAAGAAGAATTCAGATTTCAATTCAACAATATTCAATGGCTGAAGGTATATGTTTTTCGATTCAAAATTTTATTTTAGTATTCATGATCTTATATGGTAAAGTGTTGCATATTGGAGATCATGATTTAGATGAGTTTAAATGAATTTTTAAACTATCATATATATATATATATATATATATATATATTTTATATTTATATATGTTCATAACAAAAAGTGTACAATAATATATATTAAGAGGGGGAAGCACGAGACCGAAAAGGAGATGCTTTGCTTTGCGTTAAGAGCACAAATCAATAAACCCCTAATTCATTGTGTTTTGAGCCTTTTTCAACGCCTCGATCGCTCCATCCCATGAATTCATACTATTGTTTTCTATAGTTTAGTTATATGCTCTTTATATGGCCCAAGACTTGTTTAAAAATCTTTATATAAATATAATATTAATTATTCATTGCATCAAACAAATACAAGGTCTTTGTTCAAAGGGGTGTGAACTTAAAATAATGATAACAACAAATCAATCAAAAAAAAAAAAGAGGGGAAAAAAAGGAAAGACAGAAGACACAAGTGGGTGAAGTGAGTGGGGTCTTAAGGGACAGTGTCCGGTGGGTTGGGATGCACTTCTCGCCCTTTCATGCATTGTCTTTTGTCCCTTTTGTTCTATAAAAACCTCCCTCTCCTCTTCCCATTCATCTAAACCCAAATCAAGCACAAAACCCTAAAATCTTGTTGAATTTAAACAAAAAAAAATATAAAGTTTGAATCTTTTTTGGAAGATGAAGATGGGAAGTCCAAGCATGGGAGGATCCAAGAGAAGGGTCTCGAGTAGAGGCCTTGGAGGCGTTCTTAGAGAGCAAAGGGCTAAACTTTACATCATTCGGAGATGCGTCGTGATGCTCCTTTGCTGGCACGATTGATATTTTATTATTTTGAGTTTTAATTAAGGTATATAGAATAATTTATACTTCGGATATACGTATACGTATACGTATAGGAGAATTCGAGAAGAGTCTTGTGGAAATGTGGTCTACATCCGAAGAAGGTGAAGAAATCGGTTTGTTAGTTATCTTAGGCCTCTCCAATGATTTTTCTTCTTCTTCTTTTGAACCGACTTTTGATGATCCATGTTTACATATAGTAGAGGGGCAAAATTGTAAATATCGGAGGGGTTGAGATGGCAAAAGTTTTGTATTGGCGCTTGGCCAGTTCTTGGAATGTAAATGAAACATATATTTTTTTTTAATCTTTTTGTGAAATTGTGATGATACTATCAGTAAAGATGCAAGTATGACTCTGTGATTATTTTTTTTTTGTTTCGGAAAGGAAAAAACAAATTGATATTATTGTTTTACTAATTAATCCTGAAGTCTAAAAATGTTAAATTTTGTATTAGTAAATAATAAAAGAAAAAACTGTAATCTTGTTCATATCTATCCATATGGTAAAAACCAGTAAAATTTGTGAACTTGCAAAATGTAGAAAATTAATTTCTAAATTTTTTATTCGTTAAATTTATTTTTAAACTTACAAAATGTGGTATTACAATTCTCAAAACTTGTTAATTGATATAAGAAAAAACCTTAATGACTGTTGATCTATAAATTAGTTTAGAATTTATAATAACTTATTTTGTATGAGAATTATAATGATATATTTTATAAATTTGGGAAGAAATTTGTCAAATAAAAGTTTTATAAATTAGTTTTCTCCCATTTTACAAATTTAGAAATTTTAATGGGTTTTATCCTTATCATTTTAGATGAGATTTTCAGAATTAGTAACAATTATATAATCCATTGAATTGAGATATACATTTTTTTTCCGAAAAAGAAAACTCTTTCCAGTTTCCATGATTTCGGCATTGATTTCTTGATGTTGCTATGGTCCACATTCCATATGATTATCCTTCATGATTTTAGCCAATCAGTTTCCAAATAAATTTAATTTAGGATGGTAGTATAATAATTTAAATAATTTGTCGATTGATAATTAATTGTTTAATCATGTGGTGTGATGTGATGTCGCTGCCCACGCATGGCTAAATTCGTTTTCAATCATTTACAATTTTCAACGTATTCTATGACAAGCTCAAACTTCCATGATTCGCGTTGGTTAACTTCAAACAACACAATTAATAATAAATAGATAAATTAGAAAACTTTATCATATTCATATACCTAAAAATATACCAAAAAATAATAATATCTTTATTACTATAAAAATTTATTATTCTAAAGAAATGTTTGAGTTTTCTGTTTTAAAAATTGAAATTGAAATCTTCTATGTAGATAATGTTCCTAAGTTTATTTAAATTATCATAATATATTTGGAATTTGACTTACATTTGTTTTTTTATACAATTCCACTTATATCCAATCTAAATTCATATAAATTTATTATTTATGTTCTCATTTTTCCAAAACATCCTAGGATCCATTATTCTTAGTTGATTTTATCGGTATTCATCGGTTTTTTTTTTGTTATTTATCAATTATGTTATTATTCAAATTAAAATTATTGTAACAGTTTCGAATAAAATTACATTTTATTTATAATTTTCTGTTTGGTTTTCATCAAACCGCGCAAAAATGGTCAACCATAATATAGAACTAACAATATATAAACTTATTTTACCCACAAAAATATATATAATTAAGTGCTAACATTCGAATAAATTTATAGACATTCTCAATTCGCGATTTTATAAAATTAAAATAGTATGTTCTTAAAATTAAAAATAAAAACAAATATTTGAAAAAGAAATGCATTTATTGAAACAAAAATATTGAGATATTTTTTAATGATGTGAGATATAATAGAAATTTTTTTCAATAATATTATCTTTCATAATAAAAGCTTCATTAATTTACAATATTGATTGGCTATGGATAGACATATCCAAAATTATTGCATGGCCCCTCAAATTATATGACGTGACAATTAGGTGCTAAATAATTATGATGGAAGACTTGTATGATGTCGCATCAAATAATATTCTAGTAGAAAATAGAACTTACATAAGTTAACCGATGGTCCTATACATTATTTGACAGAATAAAATCTAAACTATTTTTTTATCAAATAAAATTTTAACTTTATTTTTCAGTTAAAAATAAACTCGAATTTTATAATTTTTATCATTTTTAAACCTACTGCTAATGTGATGTTCTAACATTCTACGTGTTAAGTCAGTATTTTGACCATATTCGATACGTCATCATCTACATATCACGATATCGGAATATCACGTCAGCAATATGTTTAAAATGACAAAGATTATAAAGTTTAAGTTTAGTTTTTACTAAAAAATAAAGTTGATGTTTTATTTTATAAAAATAAACTTTAGATTTTATTTTATAAAAATTAAAAAATTTAGGTATTGTTTTAGGATTTTTCCTATTAATTAATAAATGTTTTTTTTTTACCTTTTTATGCTAAAAAAATCGTTTCAAAATATGAGTCCTGAAATGTCATTGATTCTAATCATTCTTAGATATTAACCTTTTAACTTACGCGAGTTTATAAGATAATTAAATCTCCATTTTCTTTTTCTTGTAACGCCAAAACATATTTTTATTTTAATAAAAAATATATCACAAAAAAACTTACACGCCGTGATCCGTGAGGCTGTTTGGACATGAAGCATTCAAGCGGAAGATGTTGGGTGGTCCTGAACCAAGTCTGTGGGCCCATATTCTGGACCTGAGTTTGATATATCACGGCCCATTAGTCGATGACACCACGTGTACGGTTCAGAATTTATCTTGTGCGTGTGCAGATACATACATATATATATATATATATATAGGTACACCAGATAAATCATTTTTAAATAGTCGAAATCGATTTTCCTATATCCAAAACCATATACTTCTTGATTATTCTTTTCTACAGCTTGGTTAATTAGTTTTATACCATAAAACATATATATCCGAAAAGTCCTCAAAATTGTCAGAGATATATTAATTGAGGATAGAGAGATGATTTCAAGGACAGTCCAAAAATTAATTAGATCGTTAGAGAACCATCATAGAATCGGATAAGCCATGCATCTTGCAAATGTAATTATAAGAAAAATGAATAAATGCAATAACAAAAAAAAAATGAATAAATGCACCGACCATTACTATATTGTCTATCCGTTTCAAAATAATTATTGTTTTAAATTATTTCACATTTTTTTAGAAAAGAAAGAAAAAGTCACATATATATTCTTCTTTAATGATAAAAACAATAACAATGTTATCATTAATAATTTATTAGAATTTGATAGGGATAAAATTGGGAATTATTCTAAAAAATGTTTTAAAAATGTAGAATGACAAATATTTTAAAATATAAAAAATAATATAAACCTACGAATATTTTAAAACGGAGTAATACATATAATAGAAAAAAGAGATTGTAGAGATGTCGGGTCAAGATGTTAGGTCGCACGGAAGCTGAAGTTGTATCATTTATATTCTGTTGTCGGCCATCTACATGGAGACATCCATTAATAATATATATGCTCCTCATTTTCATGCATTAATTACTTCATTTATTTAAAATTTTAAATAATATTCAGTTATTTTTCCCAACATATATTAATATCTACATCGAAGCGTATTGTTGCATATAAAGCTTCTACACGTAGTTTTTATACATGACAACTAAAATTATAACATACATACATATATATGTTCTTGTATATATGTTTAGATTTTAGGGCTTTATAAAAAAAATATTTAGATTTTAGGGATAAACATTGAAGGAGAAATAGACAAAAGGAGTTGAACGGTCAAAAATATACAAGCCACGTGCGGCGGACCTACCACCGTCGCAGTCGTTGTGGTCCCCACCACCACGGTGGAGCCACGGCCTCCTGTCTCTCTCTTCTTGATAATAATTTTCCCTTTTCACATTATATGATTCCCTTTTGTTCTTTTCCGTTACTTAATTCCTGTTTATACACAGATTAATCTCACTTATTGTCAGCAATAAATAATATATAGTTCAAATTTTGAAAATTATAGATCTTAAAAATCACGTGTCTTATTGGATAATAGAAGCACACTCACTCTATATTTTTTCAACAATGCACCGAAATTCAAACTAATTTTGGGATCGAACTCAATCATACGATTTAAATTATATATATCCTTCTCAAATTTAATGTTAGAACTCAAGACGGGACAAATGCTTTGTACCATCATTTCATCGGTTGAATTATCCAAATCTAGGTCATTCTACTATGTGTTGTTTTGTCTAATATGGTATGGACAATTGGATTACATATCCTTTTATTTGGTATATCATTTATTAACATTCGTATTGGTAATATAATCTCTTAGTTATTTTCGACATTAAAAGTATTAGAGAACGTATTTCGTTAGTTTGGTTTACCTCGGTTCGGTTCAATGTGTTTTCTTATTTCCAGTTTATGTACTTTACATTTCCGCCTTTATTTTTTCCATTAGAGCTGAACAGTATATATAGTAGTTTTCATTCATTTTTGAAAATAAGAGAGAAAATTGTCTCAATCTGTTTCGTTCTCTCTCTGCCAAATTCAAATGGTATCAGAGCGAATCATGATTCAGTTTTTCAATTTCTCTTCTCGATCTCTTTTTTGATTGTTCCTGATTTCTGATGACGGATTCCGAAGTTCATCTCTCTGATCATGAGCGATCGAGCTCTCGATCTTCGTCTCCACCTTTGGATCCTTATGCTAATCCTTTGTTTTTGCATCCTAGCGATTCTTCGTCTCTTGTTTTGGCTACTGAAAAGCTTCTCGGTGAAGAAAATTATAATCTCTGGTCTAGATCGAATATTAAAGCTCTCAAGATGAAGAATAAGCTCAGTTTTGCAGAAGGAACAATTCCACAACCTGATCCGTCTCATCCTGATTATGGAGCATGGTCACGGTGTAATGATATGGTTAGTACTTGGCTTTCGAATTCTGTTTCAGCTGAAATCAAGAGTTTGATTATGTATCTGGATATTGCGAGCGATATCTGGAAACAACTTACAAGCAGCATAATATTTCCAAGATCTATGGTATCCAACACCAACTAGATTGTTTATATCAAAGAAATTTGTCGTTGAATGCTTATTATACAAAACTGAATTTGTTGTGGGAGGAGCTCAAGAATTATGAACCCTTACCTAGTTGTTCTTGTGGAAGATGCATTTATCAAGCAGATGCAAAGTGGAATAGTCTGTACGAGCGAAGGAATGTTATTCGTTTTCTAATGCGTTTGAATGATTCTTACAACCAAGGTCGAAGGCAAATTACTATGCAAGAGACATTACCTG